ATATATATATATATATAAATTGTGTCAATAAGGGAATTATATTAATGGATAATTTTTAAATTTTTTTTTTTTCAGAATTTAAATTACATTCGCGAAAGGCAGAAATGGACATACCACTTCAACAGATTTGTTATAATCGTAAAAAGTTTCGCATTGTTGGACACCTATTTTATTTTATTTTTTAAGTTGGAATATTATAAATTAATTTTTTTTTTATTTTGATATAAAATTTCCTTCTTGAGAATATTCAAGAAAGTACAGAGAATCATTTATAAAAATACTAATTCTATTAGAACCTTAAAGAGAAGCCTGATATTATTTATTTGAATTGTAGTGGAGAACGTTAATATTAGAGGAGAAAGGAATGAATATAAATTCCCCCTAACTTAAATTCGAAAATTTATAATTGAATAAATAAAATTGATTTACCCATTCCATCTGATATATGTATATAATATTTAAAAGAAAATATTAGTTTAATTTTTTTATTAATATAATGTTATATATTTATTGTTATAAAAATAATATTAGAAACAAGATACAAATTAACAATTTTGATTTACTGTTAATATATATATTTATTTATAAGCTTTAGTTATATATTTAATGATATTTGTTTTTAAATTTTTAATATCTTAAGGCAATAACCAAAATATTATACGATTTATAATTATATTTAGCATTTTTTTGAATTATTTTATCTCTTAACTTAAATTCAATTTGTATTATCTTTTAAATTTTATTTTATTTTATTATTGTATAACTTCAATGATTGAAATATATAATAGAAAAGATATGTTTTTGAATTTTGAGAGATAGTTATATATATTTTTGAAATGTGATTAATGATAATTATGATATATTATGATAGCTACTTTGATACGAAATAAATTTATAGAAAAAAAATATATGATTATGATTCAAAGATATTTGATACACAATAAATATCCACTCTAACTTACATAAATTCTCTATTAAATAACAATTTGTAATATTAAGTTAATATTATGCCCATATGATTTCTGAAAAGTGATCTTTTATTTCAAATTAGGGTTAAATAATTTTGGTATTTGATTTTTTAAAAAATTTCCTATTATATACTTCACTATAAATATAAAAAGTCAATAAAAGATTAAACTTACATATATGTTCTATTGGATAATATAAAAAAAAATATTCAAATCAATATCAAGAATTCAGTTTTGCTGAAGCCATTCGATTAAATGTAACAGCCTCAGTTTCTTATAAGTGCGCCAAGTAAAGCCAGTAAGTCAAACTGGTCGTCATTGCCTCCAATGCATCTTTAGCAGTGGACACTGAACGGCATACCAGATGCAATGCTCTCATAAAACTAGCTTTACAGTTCGCAGGCTTTCCTGCAACTATAGAACCCCCCAGGTCTATTTACGAATGCGAGACGACCCGATGGAATTACACAAATTCCTTGGGAGAATGACCGATTTCTAGCGTGGGATTACTCCTCTCTTGACCCCCTCTCACCCTCCATCCTCAATAAGGACATTTTAAAATACACAGAAGACTTAAAAAAATATAAATATGTGGATAATCCAGATGAGTATAAATTCGTACCAGCTGTCACGACAACCTTAACACCCTTTGGATGTCAGGCTCTTAGCCCAATTAGAAAGATTGGCAGAGCCTTAAGAACTAAATCAGGATACCCGAAAGAAGGCGTCTACTTACGTCAACGCGTAAGGAATTCAGATTACAAAATCTAATTTCACATTCTTCATAGGTTCATTCCCCGAGGAAAACGATTAATCTAGATTTTCTTCTTCTTCCCTAAATTATTTAAAATCCCCCCCCCCTCTTCTTCCTCATATAATCATTTGCGCATTAATTATATTTCCATTATATCTATTATTATATCTGGTATGGATTCGTTGTTTGCTAAATTTCTTGAATTTTCTAGAATTATGTTTTGGACATGATTTTATTTTTTTATATTAATATAGAAGAATTAAAAATAAGAAATAAACTCGTTTTTATTTTAAAAAAATCTTAATTAAAAAAAAAAAAAATTAAGACCGTTATAACCCATTAATCACAAATGTTAGATTTTTGGAACATCCACTTTGGCATCAGATTAGTGATTTATGAATTAGCAAAGAGTGTGGCCTGTCTTGCCATATCCTATTCTTTCTAAGAATTCAAACAAAAATTTTTTGAACATGTTTTTTGTTAAAAATATACGCTTTTAAAATTTGTAAATGGTGGGATTTTTTTAGAGCATAAAAAAATTGTATATTTCCAATAACTCATTTGTTAAACTAATAATTCTTTAAAATATTAACCTCAGAGATATACATTTCCCTAAGGATATAAGGTAAAATATTTAAATGTTCCATTTTTTTTTAACGATATCAAAATTTAAAATTTTTAAAATTATTTATAAAAATTTTTTTATAGCCAATCAATGAAATTATTTCATTTAAAAACAACATTTAGACGCATTATTAGAACAAAGATAAAGATTTAGGTTCATATTTTATTTCCCCCCAAAAAATGTCTAAATAAAATTTAAACGATATCTTCATTTGGCCAATATTTTCGATAAAACTGACCAATTAGCGATGGTTATACCATTAGATATTATTGGACAAAATCTGAAATAATTAGTGATACTCAAAAAAATTTAAGTCTGCATGAACAACTGATCCCCTATTATTATGGAAACCGAATCATGTGCATCTTTATGTGAGAAAAGTCAATGTAATTTGGTGTAGAAGTTTAGGCATTATATTCATCATATGTATATCCTTTTACTTTTGATATTTATACCGAAAAGGATTGCAATGTCCTCTTGGTGAATGAGTCCTGAAAAAAATTAACAGGTGTTATTTCTAATGTTCAAAAAACATGACACTATTCTTATATGATTATTTTACTTCCACAAGCTTAAAAGTAATGATAGGAGAAAGGTTTGCATAGGAACAATCTGCATAAAATTGAAACCGGAAAATGTCTGTTAGATCAAAAACTAATGAAAAAAAGTCCAATAGGAATCTATGTAACCTTCAGTGATAAAAAGTTTGGTAGTCTAATAGCAGTGGCGAGCAAGTAGCAAGAAAATCCTCTAGATAAAGTTAAGCGATGGAGTTATAAACATTAGGTATTTATTGATGTAATGAACCAAATATGATTACATCCTAACATATGGGAGAAATTGATTTATTAGATAGATTTTTGAATGATTATCATCTTCAACTGAGAAAATAATGACGGTGGCGCCTCTTTTCTGACTTTCTTGTGGTAGACATTGTACATATACGATATTCAATACTAACTAAGGTGAACTATATTTTGCATTAAACTAATATGTTTATCAAGTAAGATGTGAATTCAGATTATCATAGTTTTCAAAAATAATGCTAATGTAAATACTAAAAACTTTAATTTGGTATGTCATATTAAATACAATTCATTCTATAGGCACAAATATACGACAAAAACTCTTGAGGAAATGCATTTAAATAAAAATGATTACACATGATTGTTATATATAGATGAAATCATATATTAAAGGTTATAGTATTATATTGAAGTTATAGATATAATATTAGTTAAATAGAGCTAAAGCGTTTAATTTTATATATTGTAAATTCATTATAAAGGTCATTGTAAATTGAATAAAAATATAATTATTTATAAAGGGATCTTATTATGTTGTTAGGTTGTAGAATCTTGGAATACATAGATCATAGACCACATAGAACTGATATAGAATATTGGCGCAGTTAAGAAATGGGTCAATTATTGGAGAAAATTTTATTTAAAAAAAAAATCTATTGATTTTAGAAATAATGAATGACATTACAAAGGTATCTATAAAAGAATTTCGCAAAGAAGAAAGCAACCCTAGAATATTACTTGGACTACATTAGATAATTTATATATATATATTGCCTATTCTTCATATAAATTAAAAATTACGGCAAAATTCATGACAAATTTTTCTGAAATTTGCAGAGTATGTGCTTGCTCTATGCAGTGAAATATGATTTTCGCAAAATTAGGTGTCCTTATTAAATTAATAAAAAATGCTAGCTATAAAATAAGTGAAGTTCTTATAAATTTGCTAAAAACTGGTCTCTATGAAACTTATCCCTGATTTTTTTTCTAAACCTCTCTACAACATTAATTTTTGTTAATAACCTTCAAAATAAAATATTATCTGAACTTTTATTATTTTTCATACTACTCGTATTGCTAATTTAGACATGTATAAAATTTCTTTAAAAAAGCTTAAAGCTATCATTTATCGCATGAAGAATAGAGGCAAAATATAAATTTGGGGAATAGTTTGTAAAAAATTAATGATAAAAGAAAGAAAGAAAGAAAGAAAGAAAGAAAGAAAGAAAGAAAGAAAGAAAGAAAGAAAGAAAGAAAACTGAAATTCAAAAGGTAGGTACAATCTTCCTGTTAATTTTTTAATACATTGAGGGTAAATTCCGTTCAAAATCAAGTTCCCATTTTATTAAAGCCCTAATATAATAACTATCTTAATTTTATAAGGAACCAAAAACATGTATAGTATACTGATGTAATTTTTTTTATAACATTTAGATCAAGATAAACATCCCTTAAATGTGGTTGTAAAATTGATGTTCAAAAAAAAAATTAAATATGAATGAAATAATCAATTTTTTTGCAGGGAAATTAGTATGGGTAATTATAGATAAGAATAAAAAATATATATATATTACTATCGGTAGTCTGATCTAAATAAGGTTAAAATAGTATTTATATATTTAAGATATTACACATAAAATTTTCCAGTGTTTAATATATATTTTTAAAACACCCCCCCTCCCCCCCCTTCCATCAATCCCTCATTTTCCTAATTTTACAATACATCTATTTCCGTTTTTTTTAGATTTTTCTAATTTATAAAAACTTTAAACAATTTTAATATAAATATAAAATAACATCTCAACAAGGAAATATTAATAATCATTGCTTAATTTATTGTTTATTACCTTGTGCCATGACACCCTGATTAAGATAGATAGTTGGCAATTCCTTATTCGTTACTTGGCTTTCTGATATTCTAAAAAAAACATTATTTTACATTATTAATAAATTACGACAGATATATAAAAATGAAAATTAAAGAAATGCAAACAAATTAAAATTAAAAAAAAGGAAAGGAAGGATAAAAATAAAAAAGAAAGTAAATAAAATAAAATGAAATGAAGGAAATAATGATATAAAAGTTTTTATGATTGATTGATTTTATAAGACGTTTGTCCCTCAATTTATTTTCGAGAGAGAATGAGTAATATCCAGCATGTATTATCACGTGAATCAATTTGAATCCATATTTTTTTTGTATCAGAAAGGTAAAATATAAATAAAAACAAATAATATAAATTTTTTGTACCGGCAGGTCTCTGTTGGATTAAAAAGCTAAATTAAGGAAATATATTTTTTTAACATGGAATCTATTTACGTAATCAGCTGTAATCAATTTCATAGGCCGCGATAGACGCCCCCCCCCTATAGAAAGTCATTTTAAAATGGCGGATTTTAATGAAATGCGACAATTTTTTAATTTTCCGCCACACGGTGTCTAGAACTATCATAATATACCTCGTCCTACTTACCACCTTAAACATTAGCAATGGCAAACAGTGACAATTAACCAAAAATATTCCAATCAATCTCTTCAAGCTGAGACTCTGCTTAGAGGCTTAATTCATTTTTTTTAGGCTAAAAGCTCGACTAGTCTACAATAGAGATTGGTCATAGTTAGTTAATTTTACAAGACTAATTTTGTCTTCGCCTTATAGTTTTAGAATGTTAAACCATTTTTTTTAAAAAAATGATGTATTGCAATATAAAAACCTCAATTTTTTAATATTTCCTTGCATAAAATCGTAAATGGACAAGAGTCAAATTAAGCATTCAAAACTCCTATAAAGATATACTTAAGACGAGACAAATTAGTTTGGTAGCAATGTATAATGGAATAAAAATACGGCCGGTAATATAAAGTTTTTTTTATGATTATGTAAAAGATTTTTAAAAATTAACATATTTTTTTTTTTACTTGGTTCTGGGCGACAACTTGAAAATGATTAAAAAGTCGTTTAATTATCATTGACAAAAATTCGGTGAAAATTCATTTTTCGAATTTTTAAAATATAAGAAAAATAAATTTTTTTTGTAGAAAAAAAATGCTACAATATCCAATTCGAAATGCCAACTTTGCACAAAGAGTATGTTATAATAATATTAAAGTCCCATTTCCTTCCCATCCTTTCTTGACACTACACGTATACAATGAAGCTAAGCCAGATTTCTGGTTCAGAATTATTGTATAGAAGACCTAGGGTCTAAGAAAATCGATAGCAGAGGACCGCTTACGTTTTTTATTATTATTAAAGTTTATGGAGGTGGGGAGGTCCGAATCGGCCCTGATCGATCCGCACCTCGTATCCGTTATAATATAATGCATCATATTGAAAAGATAAAAAAAAATGGCGCTTACCAATCATCTGAAGAGCAATTAAGATCGATAAGATTATCTTCATCATTCCTTTTTCAGGCGTAAAGATTTTTTTTTTTTGGTAAAGTTATGAACAAAAAATAATAAAAATAAAATAATAGAATAGTAGAATTAGAATAGAAATTATTTTCTGTGAAATGATAAAAATGAGGATATCTCGATATTAAATTAAATGATAGATTACAATTGTGATGTACTAATTTACACGTGGCAAATTCACATTAGAAGATATTTTTAAATTAAAAAAAAAACAATAAAAATTATTTAAAATATAAATAAAAAACAAATTTTTTTGTTTTTTTTTTTAAACCAGATCGGCAAATTTTTGGGAAAAAAAAATATATATAATTTTTGGTAACAAAACACGTATATACTATGCAACCTACCCGTTCAACCAAACGCAAGACACGGCCTAAACTGCTGCCGCAGCCAAGGTCGCCACCTCCGGCATAAAACTATAAATAAAATCATCCACGACGCTCTTAATAAGGCTAAAATTCCTAACAAACCTCTCTTTACAAGATGGTCTCAGACCTGACGGTTTAACCTGCACCCCATGGTCCAATGGGAAATCCCTAATTTGGGATGCAACCTGCGTCTCTTCCTTTCCCTCATCAATTAATTCGAACCCTCTTACTAGCGGGGAAAATAAAAAAATTAATAAATACTCAATCAATACTAAATAACTTTATTTTTCAACCCATAGTCATTTCAGCTAATGGCGATTTCTCACAATCAACATATTTTTTTTTTTTAAAAAAATTTTAGCACCTAAAATTTTTAACATTACAAACGAAAAACGCGAAATCAATTTTTCTTAAACAAAAACTCCAATTAGAAATTTTTAAACATAATTTCACCTGTTTTTTAGGAACAGAACATTTTTACTATAAGCTCTTTTTAGAGCCATCGATATTTTTAAAATATACTTTCATTTTTTAATTTTTATATTTTGTGTACATGTTTTAAAGAAAAATGAATAATAAATTTCGTAAATTTTTTGTAAGAAGTTAGTATAGATTTAGATTTAAAAAATTTAAAAACTAAGTATAAAAATGTATAGGGGTAAATCACTGAAATTCTAGGAAATTTTATTTTTAAAAATAATAAATGAGCCCTCCTTGAGCGTTTTTTGGGGTTGGAAATTTTTCGATGCAATAATAATTAATAAAGTTTAGTTACTAAGAAAGTATTCTTAGAAAAATTTAATCTATATTTTTTTTTTTGTTCACCATTTTTAAATTTTTTACAAATTAAGAAAAAAATATAGAGTACATTATTCAGAGTTGTTAAAGGATCTAGATACAAGTGTCTAGATCCCGTATCTAGATATAAAAATGTTGTATCTGTACCTGTATCTAGATAGATTTTTGATTAAAATAGCTGTATCTAGATATTATTTTAGACGATGTATCTGTATCTAGATCCATTTTAAAAAAAGTCTCTTTTAACAACTCTGATATTATTTATTGGTTGTTGTTAAACGACTCGTTCATCCAGAAATATTACGCGAACCTGAAAATTTTGTTCATAGAAGGAACGAAGGTCTAAAACATATATTGTAGAAATATCGAGGCTTATTAGGCAATATTTTTTCTAGCTAAAATATTGAGTTAGCCTTTTTTTTTAAAAAATCGCCTAAAAAACGTGCCGTTTAACAATACTATAAATGTTACGACAAATAATGATGGTACATTGAGTATAGGTCGATATATCATTATTAGGGTCCACAAATTTTCTGCTGTGATTTACAGAGTAATGATCGTATCCATTTCCATTAAGATGGGTTATAACTTGGAAAAATTATTAAATTTTAAGAATTAGTGCGATCCAGAGTTGTTAAAAGATACCTTTTAAATGAATCTAGATACAGATACATCGCCTAAAATAATATCTAGATACAGATACCACATTTTTATATCTAGATACAGGATCTAGATACTTGTATCTAGATCCTTTAACAACTCTGGTGCGATCGCATTAAAAAAAAGATATTTAAAAAAATAATATTAAAAATTTCCCCGAGTTTCAAGTGACTTGCCAAAATATTGGAAAAATAATAAAATATTTATTTATCTTTAAAAAAAATCTTCCAAAGAAAAAGAAAATAAAAATGGAAAAAGAAATTAAAAAAATAAATAAATGAAATGGAAAGAATAAAAAACAAATGAAAAAAAAAAGGGAAAGAATTGTAAAAGAAGTTTATGATTTTTTATTCTCTTCTATGCATTACACATTAGGTAGTTAATCGATATGATCTTCCGACAACGGGGTTAAGGATAAAATGATGGCGGACACTATGCTACACATATGCGTAGGCCTGTACGCTGCCCTAGACATTTCACGTCGGGGCCAATTTTAGTTAGCGCGCGGTAGACGCCATTTTTTTAAAAATCGGACAGCTATTTGTTCTAAAATTTATTTATAAATATATTAAAACATAGATTTAGTATCGTTTCATTTATATTTCTTGCGTTATCTATAGTGACCTATTTAGGACAGCAAGTCCAATTTGGAATTGACGTGCTGGAAACGCAGTTAGAACTACCCAATTTAGCAATTACTTCTCCGACCCAGCTTCGAGTTTATTTCCTTTGGCCTGATATTGAATTCAAAAAAGATTTTCCTTATCTCCAGATTACTTTGATAACGGTTATATTTTTATTATACAAGGTAACTACAATAATATTATATCCTTCTAATTATAAATTTATAAATTCAATAATATATATGTATTAAAATTTATATTCGTTGTAAAAATAGCATTTAAGTATACATTATATTATTTCCCTTTTTATAAAATAATGTGAAAATTTTTTTTGAATTACTTTGCCACGTATTGCTTTAAAAATTTGTTTACTTTTTTTTTGTTTATTTTATAAAAATTTAATTTCATGTTTTTTGTGTTTATCGTGTAATAAAAAGATGTATTTTACATTTTTGATTTAAAGAAAGAAAGAAAGAAAGAATTTTGTTTGTAAATAAATTTTACAAACAAATTTACATTGTTTATACATACCACCATTGTTATAAAATTGTTTTTATCTACGCGCCAATTTTTTTTTCGGCGCGAATCGGCTGCCGCCATTCGATTTTTTTTAAAAATGGTAGCCGATAGTTTTATCGACGCACAGGTCCACAATGCGCATCGCGATTCCTATCCAACATCAAACGTCAATCAACTTACATTAGCAAAGTCAATAAAATATTTCAAAAAAAAAGATAAAATACGAATTTTTGTTTTTTGAAAAAAAAAATGATTCATTTCTTCTCTCTTAAGTGGAAGGGAAAATCTCTCTTTAAGCGGAGCCATTTTAGTGGAATTCGAATTTATAGCGTGAGTACGTCTTCGTCCACGCGAGCAGCTCGTCCGGTTCTGAGGTTGGAAAGTTGCCGAGGACCTTTTGAAGTAGCCAAGTTTACTACTCTGACCCGTGTTGAGGAGTTTTATCAAGGAATCATCTTTAAAATATTCGAGCATGTGTATAGGATTTGATAATTTTTAGAATTCAAAAATTGAAAAGTTTTGGTGTGCCGGGGAAGGCCCTTGGCTTATATTTTCGCCATTTTTTTTTGGTTGCAGAAATTGCATTTCTTTGCCACGGGGGTGAGGGAAAAGTCGTTCTAAATAGATTTTTTGAATAGAGACTTCTGGCTGTGTAGTTGATCATCGTAGCCAAGAACAAGGGTGCCTTGGGAAGGCAGGAACATGGTAAGCCAGTCTACGTTTCCCGTATCCAGGGTGGGGAGATGGCCGATACGCGAGTAAGACGAGGAGTGGGAAGAGGCGAATATTTGAACTTGTGGGGTGGATCCCCTGAAGTTCGATCAACTTTTCAGAGAATAATTCTGGAGACAGTTTCGCCTACCTGAGTAGCTTGGTACTCGGTGGGGTGGAAATGTTGTTAAGTATCGTTTATTTTCTAAAAATTTATTCATCATTCATAAACGTCAATATTAATTCGAATGACAGCTTGATTAAAATTGGCAGTCACAGTTTAATAGACGTTTGTTAGTGTTTTTTCATTATACTTTTCCTTATTTGGAAATCGAAAATAAAAGTTATTCGTGTTAAAAATATAACAAATAGGTTAAAGTTTCGACGAAGTGCTATTCAGGTCAACGTCCATATAAACGGTGGGCGGTGGTTGGCGCGGACGGTGCAGTTTGCTATTAATTTTTTTGAGGAGTATGGGGTAAGCATTTGGGACAGAGTGGGGGGGGGGGGTATAGTGACTAATCTTTCGCTGTAAATTTTTTTCAAATGCTTTCATTATAGGCTTGTTTAATATACAAATATTAGTAAATATCGACCAAATCTATATAATACATAACTTGATGTTCAATTAAAGGGCTACACATTGGCATATGTATCGCTAATTGCGCCTCACATTTACAAAGAATTCCGCTTATTTACGCTTCTCAAATAAATGAATATAACTCGCTTGCGGTTAATGATACGGATATCCCGTTTTGAGAATATTAAAGCACAAATTGAATACTAAATAATTGCCAAGTTTCGAAAATTATTCTTATTTATTTTCGGTTTTGGCAAAGTGCCAATACTTTCTTATTTTGCTCATAACTCACTAGCCGTTAATTCTGCTGATATGCCGTTTAAAGATTCTTGATGTTCAATTAAAGAGCTACACATTGGCATAAGTATCGCTAACTGTACCTCAATTTTTATAAATAATTTTGCCTACTTTACAAATAAATAAATATTACTCGCTTGCGGTTAATGATACCGGATATCCCGTTTTGAGTGGGAAAGTAAGTTTATTTATTTTCGGTTTTGGCAAAGTGCCAACATTTTCTTATTTTGCTCATAACTCATGAGCGGTTGATTTTGTGATGTCCGGATAGAAGTGCAATTAAGGCTCTAAATAATGGTTAATTGCACCTCAAGTCGTTCTGCTAACTTCACGTTTTTTAAATGACTATAGCTCGGTTACGGTTAGTGATACGGATATCCGGGTTTGAGAATATTAAAGAGTAAATCAAATATTGCATTTATGACAAGTTTCAGAAAAGAATCTCTCTTATTTTCGTGTTTTGGCAAAGTGCCAACACTTTCTTATTTTGCTCATAACTCATGAACGGTTCATTTTGCTGATGTCCGGATAGAAGTGCAATTAAGACTCTAAATAATGGCATAAATTTTGTCAATTGCACCTAGTCGTTCTGCCAACTTCACGGACCTAAATAATAATTCTTACACTCACAATTTTTTGTTAGTTGGGTCATAGTTTATTGATAACTAAAGTGAATTCTTTTTAAAATATATGAAGAAATTACCATTACAATTTAAAACGTGCCAAGGGGAGCGAAAAGATTGTTTTTGAGTGGTTTGCTTCCAGTGAACATTCTGTCAAGTAGAGTCTGAGGACACCCCTAATTTAGAAATATTTCCACTATGCGTATTTAATGTATATAAACATATTTTTTAAAAAATATATAGATTAAAAGCTGGTCAAATTTTATCATTATAAAATATACGTTATATCTTGACATAATTCAAAGCGTTTAAAACGAGGCAAAAAATTTTTTAATAATTTTTTGAATGTGTTATAGTAATTAATTGAAACACAAATATATATTTTGATTCCTAAACCCAAGAATCAACGTTTTAATATTATTAAAAAAATATGCTCGGGTCTGTGGATTAGGTCGACTCATTTGGTTAGGTTGGTTCATTTTATTCAACTAAATAACCAGGGTCGTGTAAAACCAACTAATAAACCACACTATTATATATACCTTAGGTAGTATATTATTGACATAAAATTTACTGGCCATTCATAAAATTAAAATATTTTTCATGTTTTTTTTTATTACCAGATAAAATAAAACTGATATATTATCATAATCAGTAAAAGAAAAGAGATTGGCTTTCCCCCCTATGTTTACAATATTAGAGTTGGTTATGAACTATCAAAAGTAATCGATAACCGATATGGTACAATAATTAGAGTTCAATTTAGCTTTCAAATTGTCCTCAAAATCCTACAGAGGCGTTGAACTGAATAGCCCTTTAAGCCTTAAAATTATGATTTTGGAGACCGTACCAATCGTCACATGTACAAATGTGCAGTCAGTTGCGCCACGGGTGAGGGGGTGGTTCCACCCCCCTTAAAAATTTGAAGCGGAGTCCCTTGATATTGCAAAAACTAGTGACGTTCACTGCAGAGGTCATTTTTCCATATGTGAAAAGGTTGAAAAGTTACTTAGAACTTCTAACGGAAACAAATGGTATAACTTATTAAATTATAAACCGAAATTCCATCTAGCTCCCCCTCATCAAAATGTATAAGAAAAAAAAAATAGCTAAAAGGGCTTGAATAAAAATTAAACTGAAAAATTCGCTTCGTCTAAATTAAAATATATATTTCCAGGGGTAAGGAATATTTTTTTTAATGGATCTAGACCTTACACACTGCCAAAAAATAATAGATCTAAGTACAGATACAATTTTCTGAAAGATACATTTCTATTACGAAAGAAAAAAAATGCAAATTGTGCTTAATGCCTAACTCAGTATTCTAATAATAAAACTTAAATTTTTTTTTTGATTCTCTATATAAAATATATAATTAATGATAAATAATAATCATCGTTAAAATTTTGATAATACATATACAAAAAAATTTACAATTATTAAATGTAAATACATTTTCATTAGTGATCATATATTAATTTAAAATTAAGGGTTTATCGACCAGAGGAAGGGAGGGGGGGGGGGCAATATTTCCAAGGAAAAAAATTTAGGATTTGATTTTAATAGGGAAAAAAAGTAAACGCGTTGTTGTAATTGGTAGAATATATATTTTTTTGAAAATCGACATTTTTCTTTTTTCGAGATTCAATTTTGAAGGTAGCTTTCCGAGATGACAATCTTTTCGCCAGGTTTGAAAGGTGGTAAGCCGGCATAGGGACACGTTGAGCATCTGAAAGCGTCTCCGAGATAGCACTTTAACAATAAATAAATAATTCGTATAAAAATAATTAGTGTTCCGTTCTCATCATATTCCTAGTGTCGTTAATTGGTTGGTCGTGTAAAACCCAGACCCAGGATTTGGGTCTAAAAAGGACCAAACCAACCCCGAGCACGAACCGCAGAGCAGGCCTGAGCACACAAGCAAATAAGCAACACTACATATTCCTTCTCTTTCCATCCAATTCTCGTTTTCTGACCCCATCATTTTATTGTTTTTATTTTTATTTTTATCCCCCTTACACTGCCACAACTGGAGGAGTTGGATTGACTTTTGATCTCGATTTTCCCGGTTTGCGCGTTCTTTTCCTTGATAATCTCTTCGGCCAAACCGCAGGTACAGTTTTTGCAGGCCCTCTTTTTCTTGGCGGTTTGTAAAGTGTCCGGGTTACAATCTAACAAAGTAAAATTGGTTAAAATACATTTTCAAGCTGACATGTAGTGTTGTTAAACAGCACGTTTTGAGCCGGTTTTTTTAAAAACGGCAAACTCGATATTTTAGCCGGAAAAATATTGTCTAAGCCTCGAGATTTCGATTAATATTATGTCTAGACCACCCTTGTTCCCATATATGAACAAAATCTTCGGGCTTACGTAATTGTTTTTCTGGATAGCGTAATTGAGTAAGCCGTTCCTAAAAATCGGCTCGAAAGGCGCCATTTAACAACACTACTAAAATGGAAGAATATGGTAGGAATTAGATGTTTAAGATGAAAAAACGGGCTTGTTCCAGGGAAATTTTAAAAAAAAAAATTTTAATTTTGAAATCTTATTTATCCACAATTTTTTTTTAAAAAAAATATAATTTTATCGCTAATTTTTGTTCAAAATCAAATAAGAAAATATAAAAAAGATCTCGTTAGTCAATAAAATTTTAGGGAATTTTTTTAAAAATTCTTTTTGAGATATTCTTTAATTCCGATCACGATGATGATAAATTTGAGGTTGAGAGGTTGGGGGACAATAAAAATAAAAGCCAGTAGAGTAGCAAGTACGCCTCTGCTTCATTATATATCAAGCATATTCCATTTAGTTATAATTAGTGCTGTGAATGTAACGTCAAAAAAGTAACGTCGTTACTTTTTTTGAGGAAAAGGAACGTAATTCGTTACCTTCTATCGTTTCTTTTTTCAGATGTAACGAGTAACGGTAACGCGTTTCTTTTTTGTAGTAACGTTTACAGCACTAGTTATAATATGATATTTGAACACCGATTATCGTTCTATTATTTTTTCTAAATTGTGCCCCTAAAAACCCTGTTTCAAAAGTTTCTAATGATCAAGTTATAAAAAAAATTTCAGAAGATCCATTATTTCACCTATTTCGATATAAAATAGTTTCTTTTTGATTTTAGTGGATAACGGTTATAGGTGCAAACATCTAGTTTCCAAGAAAAATATTTTTTTTTTTATCTTTCGGGTTAATATCATTATAATTGTGTTTTGTTTTTATTCTAAGTATGCTCAGCTCTAGAGATGTTCCTTCAGAAGGAAATTTATTTTCTGGGAGTCGGGATCTAACATAAGGGAAATTTCCCTTGAAAACTAAGAAAATTTTCCCTATAGTTTCCCCACTTTAGGAAAAATATTTGTTTAATTTTCTCTCAGTTCATAATATCATAATTTTGTTTTGTTTGTGTATGTAAGTTCATCTCAGATAATATATAATAATAGTTCAACTCCAGTCATGTTTATCGGAGGCAAATTTTTTTTTTATTGACAGAAATATATTTTAAAAATTTTTTCAATAATAACTTGAGATAAGGATAGTGTAGTAGGGATATAATTACTGGGAAACTTAGAAATTTTGCTAATCAGCATTTTTTATCATACTTCTAGAAAAATATTTATTTAATTTCTCAAGGTTCATAAATATCATCAATTTTGTTTGCTTTTTGTATGTAAGTTCATCATTAGATAATATAATGATAGTTCAACTCTAGCAATGTACATCAGAAGATACATTTTCTGAAAAATATTTAATGGGATCTAACATAGAAGAAAAATTTGGGAAATTTTCCCTGGAAAACTTAGATAATTATTTTATATCTAATCAGCATTTATATCGTACTTCTAGAAAAAAATTTTTTTTCTTTTTTTTTCTCAAGGTTCATGTTACGTTCATTATTAGATAATAAAATGAGAATTCCGCCCTAGTAATATGTTTAAAAGGTATGGAAATTTTTTTCTTCTATTGACTGAAATACATATTTAAAATCTTTAATTAATAACTAAACAAAGGATAAAAGGTTAAACCAACTCTTACTTAATTGTTAATTCAAAAACTAATAAATTTAAAAATTATATATTAAGAGAGAGAGAGAGAGAGAGAGAGAGAGATCTTCATTCTTTTATACATGTTACCAACTACTTAAAGTTAAAAAAAATAGGATTGTTTTCACGAAGTTACCAAGTCCAGCCAACGTGTTGGGCAGTATAGTTCTGATAACTAGATATTTTTATATAGAGATAAGCGACCTAATATTCTTGCTAATTAATGAAGTTCTCTTTTTTAAAACGATCTTGCAAGGCTATACGATTTTATAGTCAATTTCTACACAAAATGGAGGCGGTGCCGGGAAATGGATCCCTTATAGGAACCAGATCAATGGGGATCGAACGTTGCTATTTCCGGGAATCTTACATTATGTAGTGCTGGGATACTTTGGCCGGATCTAATTTTTTAATAAAAGAAAACGGAAGTTGAATAAAGGATTCGATGCTGCAAACCCATTTTCTGGATAATAAAACGTAGATTTAGATGTGTCGCGAGACGAATTGACAAATCGCTAAGATTTAAGGGATATAAAATCGTTTTCATCGTAGAAACGAAGGTAACAAATCGTATAATTGGAATTATAATTCCTACTTGTTTAAATATGGTTTATGTAAATAAAATCGATATCGAACTGTAGAAATAATTTATTTTTTTAAAAAAAAAAAATTTCCCGTTTTTTTCCCACAAAAATCCGGATAAATTTTTCCACCCAATGAGAGTTCCCCGGGAGATTTGAATTCCCTAGCGGAAAGAAAGGAAAACGATCGCCGTGATTTACTAAATAATGAGCATATTTTTATCAAATCGCAATAAGACCCACTTTTATCTCAATATATATCAAAGACCGGCAGGCCCGGCCCTAACCCGACCGGCATTTTAATTTTCTTAAATGAACCCGGACCGGGTCCGAAATTTTCCGAAAAATATCCGGGCCGGGCCGTATATTTTAAAACCGAATATTTGAAATCGTCATTATTAGCTATAAAAATCACGAATTTTATAAAATATAATTTTTTTAAAAAATACATCACGTGGACGGGTCTGGCGGAAAAATTTTTTGAAAAATAAAATCCGCGCTATCGAATAGTGCATTATTCGTATTCGATTCGTTTGAATTCGTACGAATAATAAAATCTACTATTTGTATTCGATTCGAATAATTTTCGAATAATTGAAATGAATTTTCTTGATAAAATAAATCGTACTCAAATATATTGACAAATTTTTTTATTGCGAATTTGATTTCAAACAGAAAAAAATTATAATAACCCGATGACAAATAAATATAATCTCAAGTTATAAACAAAATTAAGATATTATATTATTCATTCAATTTATAATTTTAGGCCAATTTTTAAGGCAAAAAGTTTTTCTTATAATTTCTTCCTTATACGACATGCGGTTTTTTGACAACAAATTAGTGCCAACTGATGAAAGTCTTTCACACGCAGTTGATGTTCCTTGTGTAGATAAATAATCTCTTGCCATTTTTGAGAGTATGGGGATCCTATGTGCATTTGTCTTCCACCACATTAATGGATCATTATCACTCTTTGATCTTGGCTCACTCAGGTAAAAATCGATCTCACATAGTTGAACATAATTTTGTTTAAAAACAATGTCAAGCCTGTTTTGTTGACTTTCATTCTTATTTTGGCAGTTGTAATTATCAGCAGCTTATAAAATAAAATGATATGTATTTAAATGGGGGTAAATTAAATACCTGTATATCTGCTGTAAATCTCTTTAAACTTGTCTGTTAACCTGGATATATCAATATCATAATCAAGAGATATTGATCTATAATATTCTATTTTGAGCCTGGGATCCAATATTGTAGCTATTATTGCATCATCTGCAGTTAAATTGTAATAGCCCAACAATTTATCACATGCCACTTTGAAATCATTGTTAGAGGTTTTATGGAAACAAGGTTTCTCATTTTTTTAAGTGTTCAAGAATTAGAATATAATAGGGTATAACCAAATTATAAGTAGGATAATTTTCCCCACAAACCATATTTGTAGTCTCATACAAAGGCGGATAGATTTAATTTTTACAAGATCGTCCCATTCCTCCTGTATGTTACTTTATAATAAAATATTGTTAGCTAGCCTAATTATGTTAGAGGAGAATGATTCTGATGAAATAGTTATGGTTGATGTTGACAAAATTTCTTCACAAAAAAGAGCGATTATATGGGATCAATATCAACTCAATGGTGAAAAGGCTGCTTGCAATCATTGCAAGAGCATTATTAAATCCAAAGGCAAAACAGCATCGCCTCTTATTAATCATTCTAATAGGTTTCATTCACATCTCTCTAAAAACAGTAATAAAAGTGACACTCATTTAAAGCCTATATCACCTTTTTCTTTATCTAAAAAAAATTAATTATAAAGAAAACTTACTAAAAATTATTAATTAATAATAATTTATCTTTTAAAATTGTTAATTCACCCGATTTGAAAAATTTTATAAATGATCTTGATTCTTCTATAAAATCAATATGCTCCAATACTCTTAAATTGCATATGTATAATAAATTTGCAGAAAAAGAGGAGTTGGTAAAGGATATAATATCCAAAAATAAAAGTCAGATTAATTTTTCATCTGATATTTGGACTAGCCCAACTCAGGTTCCTTTTTTAGGGTTAACAGCCCATTTTATTGATGATAATTTTAAGATAAATAACATAATTTTGGATGTCGCTCCAATAAATGAAAAACATTCAGGTTAAAACATATTTTAAGCCTTTATTAAAATAATTAAAAATTATAATTTGGAGAATAAAAATTTTTATATAATTTTAGATAATGCAACTAATAATAAAACATTTATTGATACATTTTCTTTAAAATATCCCTTAATAAAAATAGGGCACATCTGATGCTTTGCCCATGTAATTAATTTAATATCCAAAGAAATTTTAAAAATTTTAGACCCTTCAATTCTAAAACTAAGAAACATTATTAGAATGATTCATAATTCCCCTCAAAAATTAAATTTATTAAAAAATATATGTAGTTCCCTACATCCTCCCCTAAATTTTTTAAAACCAAAATTGGATTGTGAAATAAGGTGGAATAGCACCTATCAAATGATTGAAAGGGGCTTATTGTTAAAGCCTGCTATAAAAAAAATTAGTTAATGAAGTTATAACTAATATTATAATTCTTCAAGAAAAACAATTATCAGAGGTAGACTAAAATTTATAAATAGGTAAATAATACCTTATTAACATAACATACAGGAAGAATGGGACGATCTTGTAAAAATTAAATCTATCCTATTGCCTTTGTATGAGACTACAAATATGGTTTGTGGGGAAAATTATCCTACTTATAATGTGGTTATACCCTATTATATTATAATTCTTGAACACTTAAAAAATGAGAAACCTTGTTTCCATAAAACCTCTAACAATGATTTCAAAGTGGCATGTGATAAATTGTTGGGCTATTACAATTTAACTGCAGATGATGCAATAATAGCTACAATATTGGATCCCAGGCTCAAAATAGAATATTTTAAATCAACATCTCTTGATTATGGATATATCCAGGTTAACAGACAAGTTTAAAGAGATTTACAGCAGATATACAGGTAATTAATTTACCCCCATTTAAATACATATCATTTTATTTTATAAGCTACTGATAATTACAACTGCCAAAATAAGGATGAAAGTCAACAAAACAGGCTTGACATTGTTTTTAAACAAAATTATGTTAAACTATGTGAAATCGATTTTTACCTGAGTGAACCAAGATCAAAGAGTGATACTGATCCATTAATGTGGTGGAAGACAAATGCACATAGGATCCCCATACTCTTAAAAATGGCAAGAGATTATTTATCTACACAAGGAACATCAACTGCGTGTGAAAGACTTTTCTCAGTTGGCACTAATTTGTTGTCAAAAAACCGCATGTCGTATAAAGAAGAAAATATAAGAAAAACCCTTTGCCTTAAAAATTGGCTTAAAATTATAAATTAAATGAATAATGTAATATTTTAATTTTGTTTATAACTTGATTATATTTATTTGTCATCGGATTATTATAATTTTTTATGTATGAAATCAAATTTGCTATAAAAAAATTTGTCAATATATTTGAGTATGATTTATTTTATCAAGAAAATTCATTTCAATTATTCGAATAATTCGAATCGAATACAAATAGTAGATTTTATTATTCGTACGAATTCAAACGAATCGAATACGAATAATGCACTATTCGATTCGAATACGTTTTTGAATAGGCCTATTCTACAGACAAAATCTTCAGGCTTGCTTAATATTATTCCGGATGGAATATCGAGTTGGCCGTTTTTTTAAATTTGTTATACGGTTATTTTATGATTGTATATATCATAATTGCATAATTTTTCATTTTAATTTATTTTATAAATAATTTCAATTAAATGAAAATTGAAAGGAAAACTAAGATAACAATTTATTTGTAGAAATGTAATGTTTAAAACAAAATAATTGATAAAAATTGTACGCTATTATTTTATGTTATATTACCTGCAACGAGTAAAAGATTTAAGACATATTCCCGCCAAAAAATTTTTAAAAAAAACGTTCAATTTTAAAATTTTTGGCGCCAAAAATAAATCATTCCAGCTCGTTGAACTTTGAGCCACGAGATGGCAGAAAAGGTTTTTCGGATTTATATCGATGAAATTTCGATAGGCTAAAATTTTTGATTTAGGTGCCATTTTAAAAAAATCAAGAGAAAAAAAAATGGAGCTGTTTAAGAAGAGTTGAAGTCACTTTATCATGCGTGTCGCGTGTTCAACTGTCGCGTGATAAAATGTCGTTAAGCAGTTTTGACAACAATTTTCACATTATTCCAAATATTTATATTATATTCAACACGTTCCTCGAGGAATTTTTTATTTTTTTACACTTTATTTCTACATCTTTCAATAAATCACCTTTTTTTTTTAAATTTTAATAATCTAATTTTTCCAGAGTAATCTTTTGAGCAAAAAAAAGTGAGAAAGAAAGTTTTCCGATCAACTTTCACCTAAAATTCCTACCTTGTTTAAGTGAAGGAAAATCTTTTATAACTTTCGTGCGCAAGAAATCTTTCGAGAATATTCGACGAATAACGGACACGTGTCTATTACTGTTGACGGGATTTGCTCGACAGGAAGATAAGGAGTACATTTATTATCAAGATAGGGGGGAGGGGTGAGTTATATTTTGATTAAATCAACTCCACGTATAAACGATAATTTCGCTCGCAGATAAAAATAGGCAATTTTAAGGACAATGATAAACGGCAAATGCATACTAAACATGTAAAATCCATATTCGTTACCGAGTACAACTAAGGAATTATTCGATCCGTATCAATATGAATATTACAAATATTCGATTCGAACATGCGAATAGTACAAGTATTCGATTCGAAAATTCGAATAGTACAAATATTAGGCTCAATTCGTATTTTTGTACAGGTCTAAAAAAATTTGACACCTGTCAGGTCTGTGATAAAAAAAAAATAATATTACTAATCGGTAGGAGTTTTCTTTCTTTCTTTTTAATTGGTTAATTTAAAAATGGCGCAAATTTATAAAGATGATAACTTTTGTTTTTTAAGGTCTAAAATGGTGTACCAGTATTTTTTGAAACAAACCACATGGCAAATATTTAACAATCAAAACACAGTTATGATATTATATAAACTTTTGTAAAATTATGGGCTTTTATGTTTACCGCCCATAACATTTACCCTAACCTGCTTCATGATCAAAAAATGAAAGAGTTAATAGATAGATTCCCCTGCTAATCGACCCCTTACTTCAATAATAAATATGTAGTTTTTCCAGGAAAATAAATTAAGATTGTAAAAACCTTTGGGTGGTAATTCTAGTGGTTTGATTAAATCATCCGGATTCAATAAATCGTCGGGATCTATCAGGTCATCATATGTATCGTTGGCGGACAAGGACCATATTTTAGTAATTTCCTGAAATACTTTATCATCTACCGAATTATTTATTTATTTTTTTTTAGAAAAAATTTAAAATATAGATAGATTAGAATCTTTAAATTAACATAGTTTAGTTTTAATGAATATCAAGGTTAGGGTCTCGTCTTGAACTGATTTTTAAGATCAAACCAAACAATGGACCACAATATCTTCACAAATATTAGAAAAAATAAAATATAATATAAAAGTAATCCTAACACTGGCATGAGGGGCAAATGGAGCACTTAAAATCCCTGTAGTAAAATGTGTACCCCCCCCCCCTACCTCCATCTCAAAATTATTTTAAAGATTTAGGTGAATACAAAGTTGCTAAAAGGAACACATTTATGGGCGCTAAGCACCTCTAAGTAAAAAAAAAGGTTGTGATGCCTCCTCTAGTACTAATAAGCATATTTATATTGAAATGAGATAAGTTTCAATTAGGTCAAATATTATCTTCACGATGCATTTTTCATAACCTAAACCCAATATTCATGATATAGATTTGCATCATGCTTTAATTCCTCTTCCGACATCGAAACGATCCCATTATAAATGAATGAATTGGCAGCTAATTTTTCATGTATATAAACATCTTGAAATATTGATATAACCAAATTTATTTAAAAAAGCATATAAAATTGGATTATTTTAAAATTTGTTCGTGGGATGATTTTATTTGTTCCTAGAAACCACTCCTTGAAATATTTTTGTTTGGCAATACATTTTAAATGTAATTTTAATATTCCAAGATGATTATATATTAAAAAAATATCTGTCAATCTTTTGCCAATTTCGAAAATATACAGATTTATAACCAGGTTATTTTAATATAGGCAAAAAAATGATGTGGCCCTATGTCTTTCCATATAAGACTTTGTTGTTTAAATTGAAGTTTTTTAAGTTTTAAAAATAATATTAAAAAAAAATAAAGACACATATTTTATGTTGTTTTAATGCACAAGTAAAATGCTTTAATTTCTATACACATCTGCTTGAAAGATTGTTCACAAGTAGTGTTTGCAGTGATCTGGTTGAACCAACTGACCAGTCCATTATTGTCTCATCTGACTCTTGGGATCTGATGGGACAGTCCATTTGAACAACATGGTTTGATGGTCAGGTTCAGTCCTGTCCAACTGAAGACTGATTAAAGAAGATAAAAGTTTACTATGATTTGCTTTTTGTTAATGTACATGTACACATAAAACGTGATTATTTAATGCCCAACACTTACTATTTTTTCTTACCCAACTGGGTGGTTCCGTCCTTGCGGGGGGGGGCGGGTGATATATAGGAGGCTGGACTTACGAAGTTCGTTTTATTGAAAAAAATGATGAACGGCGTTCCTTTTATTTTTGACGAACTTTGAAGGTGAACGCGTTCCTTTTTTATGACGAACGCGTTCGAATTTAACGTTCGTTCAATTTTAAAAATATTTTTATTTTTATTTATTTGAAAAATTTAATATTTCCCAATTTTTTTTTAAAAAAAGTATTATTTATAGTTTTTTAATCAGCTGTGTATTTCCTTTTCACATTTCAATTTTTTTTAAAACATAGTTTATTAATTTGAATATTATTGTTTATATTTTAACTTAATAGATTAGCATGAGCATGGATATTATTATTTAATCCTCATCATCTGATTCTGAAAATCCAAAATCAGATGAATTATCATTACTATGGCCAAATATGATAATAACATCCTATATTGAAGGAACTAATCCAATGCTTACCAAGTGGCTAAAAAGTATTATATTGTCAAAATCTTCAGGTTCCAATTCAAAATGACATTTGATTTTAATATTAATTATTTGATTTTATATGATATGATATAACTAAGTTAAATCATTAAATTTGAAGAAATAATGCATTTGGGATATTTGACCCCTACATGATAGTTATTTTAAAATTAAAAAAATTAGTGGCCTCAAATATGGTCAACCATTGATAGACGCTGTATTAAATGGGATTAATAAAAGGTATTAAACCTATCACTCTCAATTAATTACATATTTTTATTTTTTTTAAAGATTTGAACATATATATAAGGATCAATATGTTCTTTCTGCAATTATACATCCATCATTCAAACTTCAATGGCCATGGATAAAACTTCCACAGAACGAACCTATTAAAAATAAACTTTAGCGTTATTGAAAAAAATGCCATGAAAACCTTAGAGAACTGTTAATTTCGAGATATTCTTTTTTTGTCGTGAGTAGAGAATGGATTGGAGGAGGATAACTTTTCTCAATTTTTTGCAAATAATAAAACAATGTTTTTAATTAATTCTCCACGTTAAAAGAGCTGTTTATTAAGTATAATACCACAATCCTCTCATCTGCCCCTGTAGAGCGTGTTTTTAGTTTAGCTAATGTCGTATTAACTGCCAAGTGTTCCTGTCTATCAGATAAATATTTGGAAAACAATTGTCATTAAAATTTAATAAGAAAAATTTTTTATAAATAAAATTATCTTTTTATTCGCTATATTATATTATCAAAATAAAACTATATTATTTTTTAACATGGCTAAAATATATTGTATTAAAAAATATAAGTTTTTATAAATTAAAATTAAAAATTTTGAACGGTTTTATGAAGGTCTTTTTTTTGAACATGAACTTGAACGTGTTCGATTTTTGTCAATGAACGTTGAACGCGTTCGATTTTTTTAGAAATGTTTACAGCACTATTTAATGATATAATTAAAATATTGGTAATTTAGCACTTTTCATATTTAATAATTTAATGCAGAATAAAACTCTTATAGCTTAATTAAAAAAAACATTTTTTAGATGGGACCGGACTGACCAGACTGGACTGATGATCTGAAGGTTTGGTCTCACTTGACTTAACAGTCCATTGGTCTAGGTTTCATCTTAAAAAAATAGGACTGGACCGTTGCAAACAGTATTCACAAGGAAGTGATGTAAGACCAAACCAAAGACATTGTAAAGTTAAAAACATCTCATAAAATTAATTATAAAAATCAAAACCATGGTTAAGTCCCAAAAACTGATATATAGACATTCACTGGGTTTGATTATTTTAAAATCATTTTAAGTTAATATTCTAAAAATTGTGTCCAATATAAAATAATTCATACTATATATTTTGTTCTTATCTTCATTCATTTAAAATATACTAAAATATTACCTATTTTAGCTGGCTCTTTCTTTTTCATATTTAATTTCATTCCAGAACCTAGAGCAAAGGAAGTTTTTTCACAAGCTAATCCAATAAAATGGTCATCAGCATTTTGATAACTTCTGAGCTATGTTAAAACATTATTTCTAAAAGACATTGTTTGTAAATACCTTTGATATATTAATAAAACCAAGAGATTTTATTAAAGATATATATTTATTATAACTTTCTTCAGATGGAATATCTAATGCATTTATATTAATTTGGCATCAAATATATATATAACTTTGTATGATTATGTAAAATTTTATTAGAGCTCCTGGATTTAATAAATTGTAAAATTTATTTATCTCAGTTACAAAATCATTTTGACAAAATATAAAATTGATAGAAGCAAATTTTGGAATTTCTATTTGTAAATCTATTTTATAAAAAAAATAAAAATATATGTAAATTAGAAAGTTAATTAACCTGATGATTGAAGTTTAATTATATTTGAATTAAGTATACCAATTTTTTCTAATAATTTGTCAGGATAAGTTAATTGATCATCAATAACAGTTAAAGAAGTTTGATTTTCCATCTCTATTTATTTCTTATCTTATCTAGCACGTTGGTCATAGACCTTCCCGAGGTGAGCGAATGTGATACGTGATAAAAGCGTTTTCGCCCTCTGATAGTAGGTACAACAGTTTTCCTCAAAAAAATCCATCAATCTGGTTACTTAATTAGGGGAAGAAAAGGGAGGAGCACACGTTTGTGGGCAAGCTGCACTTACTTGTATGCACTCCGAGAACTGTTGTTTAAATGTTTAAAGGCTAATAGCAAAAGGAGTTGGGCAAAACAAAAGCCTAAACCCGAGAACTGCAAAAATAATTTAATTACTTAAAAGGTGGGTGGTGGCTGATTTTAAGTTTAACATCTTTATTGTAAGTAAGCCTAAATGGTTACTATCAATAATTGAGAATATGTTCATATCAATTGAATTTCGTATTATACTCATAAAATAAATAACCTATTCAGTTTACTGCAAATTTTGAAGTAGAGCGTAAAAATTTTAGTGAATGGATAAAATCTAGTCCGCGATAAATTATGGACTACCCAGCCGCAATCCCACTTATCCTGTAGCACAAGAATTTTTTTAAGGTTATAGCAAAAAAGTCTTTGCAATTGATAAGGATATGAAAGAGAACAGGATCTATGAGGCCTACATAAAAATGGAATATTTCTGTAAACTTTGTAGATTTAGGAAACTGCCCTCTATAGTTTTAGGAAATGGAAATGTAAATATTGACCGGGATGAACAAATAGCATTAAGGCTTGATTGTTAAAAGTCGGTATTCGACTCACGGAAAGCAATACCAACAAACATAAATACAAACCTCGTTCTTTCGTCTGGATTTTCCATGAATGAAGTATCAAATGCAGTCAAAAACTAAAGAAAAAAAAAGCTCCGGGGCTTGATAATATCACAGCAGAATATCCAAAATAAGCACCTATCTCCCAAACTATTTTGATTTATATGTAGGCCTACCCTTCATAAAATAATGCCGATTTTTTTCTCATGATACTAGCAAACCATATACCCAGTTGAAATTTAACAAAATGAGTGGAACTTAACAATTCTGATTTTGTAAATAGTTTGATTTAGTAAAGGGTAAATAGAGAGAAGCAAGAAGGTAAAATGTTAGAAAATACTCTTTATTCCAAATACAAATGTCTTTAATTAATTTTATTTATTTAATTTTGTAAGCTTTAAGAAAAACTTTTAATTATTAGGGGTTTTTGTATTATTATTTATCTCATTCAAATTTATGATGCTGAAATTCTATTAGGTACAAGTATTAAATGATTTATTAATAAGGAGTTATAATTTATTTCTTGTTTAATTGTATGGTGTGAAAAATTTGATTTGATTTTATTAGGAAAAGACTACAATGACATAAAATAGGATATCATACTTATATTTAATTTTGCATTGTAATGAGATAATATTCCATAATCCATTTGTTTCCTCTATTTTATGTTTTTCAATATTTTAATCATTAATAGTTATCTAAACGATCTATAATACCTTAATTTCTTACAAGTGGAACTAGAATTTGAACTATTAAAATAAAACACTAAAACAAGAAATTATCAACAATTAGAGATAAATAACTATAAAAGTGTAAGGGAACGTTCGTAAAACTGATATTACTGGTTAGTTAACAACAGTCTAAGAGTAAAAAAAAATCTTTCCATGTAGAGTAGAGTGTAGGGGAACTTTCGTTTAGGAATTTAAAATCATTTCTTAATAATGAAAATTATTTATTCATTTTATTTTATTTTTAACCACACTTAGCAGTTATTCGTCATACTGCAAATAAAAATAAATAATGACAGCTGTCACTTATAATGTGCAACAAATTAAATTGTATTAAAGCAACTATATCATATTCTCCTATATTAAAGATTTCTGTAACTAATAACTAGATATTTATTAAAAATAATTAAAGAAGTGAAATACCTGCATAATAGCATAAGTTTAGATCTCTTCTTCAAACAAAACTAGCTTTTGCTCTTCCGCTCCAAATTTTATATTTAAAAAAGGTTGCTCGGGTACATTATTTGTGTCTAGATAAATGTGAGGGAAAGGTAGAAAACATTTATTTCCATATATCTTTTAAGGGGTAAGCTCTTAAGTGGATAGGAAATAAAATTTAGGAAAAAGAAGTATATCTAATATAGACTTCTTGCATCCAAAATTTCTCGAATGAGGGACGATGATAAAGCTCCCTTGATTATCATTTTTCAAATCATATTTTTGATTATTATTATTCAGATAAAATCATAGTGATAAAATTCATAAATAAAATTGCATTTAAAAAAATATAAATATTACAAGTTTGCCGTTTTTTTAGCAGAAGCTCACATTATGAGATCACAAAATACGTAAAAAATGTATTTTATATATTTTTTTCCATTCAATTTAGTAGCGTCACTCAAATGGGGTGAGGGGGTGAGCAGGATTTCGAGCCCTATGAAAAATTTAAATGACCCTCTTAAAATTTTTAAATTTTTTTTATAGTAATTATGAAAATTAACTAAAAAAAGAGGTAATTTTGAATAATGTCAGCCACAAAAAAGGGGTAATTTTGAAAATAATTAAAAAAATATATTTTGAACCCCTCAAGATTTTAAAGGCTAGTGACATCCCTGTTTCAATTCGAACATCCTGTAAAATCAGCAGAATATCTATTTAATTATTTTTAAAATTTTTTAAATAATGTATTTTTCTTAAAAATAATTTTGTTCGCGTAAAAAATATATTATAAAAATAATCGAAATAATTTTCCAATTTTTAATTTTGATATATAAAAAGAAAATTGATAAATTTTATACTTTTGAATAAGAAAGAAAGTTAGGATTTTTTTTTATAGAAAAGAATACTGAAATATGTTAATTTTTTTTTTCCTTACAACATAATTTTGCCTCATAAAATAAAATTTGAAATGATAATATTTTCTTTTCTGAAATGACCACCATTGTTGTGTTATCTTGAAAAACATAATGAAAATATGTTTGTCGATGTAATATTACCTTGAATTCATAGTGGCGGGATTGCGATCGCGATTCAACAGCTGACTACTAGTCCATACGCCATCTTATGGATATATAATTGCTAAATTTTATATTCTAAATATAAAATTTGAGTTGTAATTAGTGTTGTTAAACGGCTAAGCCGACTTAGCTACGACTCGAGCCTAGTTTCTAGTCGATAAAACGGCTCAGACTCGAGTCGACTTGCTTAGTCGGCTCGCTTAGTCGGCTCGCTTAGTCGACTCACTTAGTCGACTCAGAGGTTAGCTTGAGTTTAATTTAAATTTAGAGCCAAAATTTATTTTTATGTTATTGAGATATTTTTAATAATAATGTAGAATTTTATTTATTTATTTTTAGTGAAATAATTTATTTTATTTATATTTAATGTTAATATTTTATTATTATCAAACAAAAAATTTTTTTTAATTTTATTTCAAATATGTTTTGATCTTATAATAAAAATGGATTTATTTATTTGATTTTTTTTAAATAAAAAAAAATTCATATTTTCGAGCAAAAAATTTTAAGCAAAAAATAATTTTTGAAATACAAAAATATTTTTGAAACACATTTTGTTGATTGTTTTTTTTTATAAATTTTTAAATCTTTTTTAAGAAATACTTTTGTTAATTTTATCATAAATAAATAATCTTTTAGGTGAAATCTTCTATAGTTTTTTTTATATTATTTTTATAAATATATCTATATTTTAAGTTTATTTTATTATAAGAGGTGGTTTTTCTAAATAATTTTTTTATAAATATATCTATATTTTAAGAATATATAAAAGAGCTGGTTTTTCTTTTTGTAAAATCATTTTTTTTCTAAATATATCTATATTTTAAGTATATTAAAAGAAGTGGTTTTTCTAAATTATTTTTTTATTAATATTTATGTCAAACTTTTTTTTAATGCGACAATTGTCATATGCGTTATTTTTTAAGATTTTTGAAATTTTTGGACACAAAAGGGTTATAATATAATTTATATTGTAAAGATATTATATTATAAATTCTATGAAGATGTTCCCTGGAAAAATGATAATTATCATAATAGGTAGATATTTTTGAACATATGAGATTTTTTTGTGACGCTAATGGGCAAAAATATGTTTCTTTAACAGGTAAAATTTAATGTAGATGTACCCTAGATAAATGACAATTGTCATAATAGTTATTTTTAAAGTTTTTTAAATTTTTTTGACGTAAATAGGCTAAAATAAGTACTGCTAACACATGTTTAAATAAAACTTCACTGAAGATGTACCCTAGAAAAGTAACAATTGTCATAATCGTTGATTTTAAAGTTTTTCGAATTTTTTTGACGTAAATGGGCTAAAATAAGCATTGCTAACATGTTTAAATAAAATTTTAGTGAAGATGTACCACAGATAAGTGACAATTGTCATAATCGTTGTTTTTAAAGTTTTTCGAATTTTTTTGACCTAAATGGTCTAAAATAAGCATAGCTAACATGTTTAAATAAAATTTTAGTGAAGATGTACCACAGATAAGTGACAATTGTCATAATCGTTGTTTTTAAAGTTTTTCGAATTTTTTTGACCTAAATGGTCTAAAATAAGCATAGCTAACATGTTTAAATAAAATTTTAGTGAAGATGTACCACAGATAAGTGACAATTGTCATAATCGTTGTTTTTAAAGTTTTTCGAATTTTTTTGACCTAAATGGTCTAAAATAAGCATAGCTAACATGTTTAAATAAAATTTTAGTGAAGATGTACTCTAGATACAGGGTTTCCCGTTCAAAAAAAGAAAATCGTAATTTTTTATCAATTTTTCTTAAACTTTTATTTATTTTAGTTATTCCTTTTTAATTTATTTCTAACTTTTTGCGATTTTCTTTACTTTTATTTTTCTTACTTTATCTTCTTTCAATTTATTTTTCTTCAATTTATAAATTTTAATGTTGATAAACGGCTCATTTTGAATTGATTTTTTTAAAACGGCTAACTCAATATTTTAGCTAGAAAATTATTGTCTAAGCCTCAAGAT